CTCCCGGTGGCCTGGCTGCGGAAAAGCGAGAAGAGGCCTCGGAAACCCACGCAAGGGAAGAGGCTTGAAATGCCCAAAGCTCATTCCTGCCAAACCCAAAGGCTGGGATTCGGAGCCTGACCCCGAAGCGAGCGGAAGCCACACCCCTTCCTGCAGGGCAGGGAATGCGGCCCCACAGCTGCTGCTACAGTCCTAGCCTGCAGCTCAGCCCCGCCTTTTTCCACCGCCTGTGGCCCCCTTCCTCAGCAGCAGTCCCACGTCCACGGGAGAAGTTGCAGGAGGGCGGTGGAAGGGTCCCACAAATTGAGGAGGATTTACAGCTCGCAGGCGGGCAGGGCCGAGCTGGAAGCCAGCGTGCACGACAGTCACGCGGTGCAGGCGAAGCTGGAGACAGACAGGCAGGGGCACGATGGGTTTGGCCCTCAGTCCCGCCCAGACTAGAAAGAAGCAGAGCTCCAGGCAAAGTGCAGGGAGCTCACTAGGCCTGGCTCTGGGAAGAGTGAGGGGGAAGGAAGCCGGGATGAGCAGGGGACAGGACGGCTGTTCCCGCAGAAGAGGCAGAAGCACTCCTGGGCACTGCTGCCGGCTCCCAGCTGGAGCAGCACTGTGAGTGGACACGTTCTGGCCTAGGAGTTCGTAGGTTCAACCCTGTCCCCAGGAAATACTGTTAAAGCTTTATGAACAAAGACTCGTTTAGGGTGAAAAAACTGGAAACTACCCTTATGTCCTCCCAAATAAAATTAAGTTATGGTTATGTGGATGTTTAAAATGTTTGTGGTATTAAAATCCAAAGACTGAAAAGATAAAAGGTCTGAGTGAAGAAAAAATATGCACAGAAAAAACAAGACTAGAAGGAGCTCTGGAACCTGGAAGTCCAAAGTCAAGGTGTCAGCAGGGCCCTGCTCCCTCTGGAACTTGTTAGGGGATCCTTCCTGGCCTCTTCTAGCTTCTGGTGTTTCCTGGCCACGTCTGGCATTTTCTGGCTTGTAGATGTGTGACTACAACCTCTGTCTCTGTTGTCATTTGGCTATCCTCTCTCTGTGTGTCTCTCAGGGTCCACACCTCCTGTGAGGACACAGCCATATTGATTAGTGTCCACCCTAGTCCAGAGTGACCATCTTAACTCGATTACATCTGTAAAGACCCTGTTCCAAGTAAGACCACATTTACAGGAACCAGAAGTTAGGATTTTAACATATCTTTTTGGGGAGACACAGTTCAACCCACAGCAAGTACCATCTCATCTCTGCTTGCTTCCTTTCTTTTTTCTTTCTTTCCTTTTCTCTCTCTCTCTCTCTTTTTTTTTTTTTTGAGTTGGAGTCTCACTCTGTTGCCCAGACTGGAGTGCAGTGGCCTCTCCCAGCCACTGTAGCCTCGACCTTCTGGACTCTGGCCTCAGCCTTCTAAGTAGCTGAAACTACAGGCGCGCACTACCATGCCCGGCTAATTTTTGATTTATTGTAGAGATGAGGTCTCGCCAAGTTGCCCAGGCGGGTCTCGAACCCACGGACTCAGGCAATCCACTCACCTCAGCCTCCCAAGGCACGGGATTACAGGCTGAGCCACTGAGCCCGGCTTACTCTCTTTTTTTTTTTGAGAGACAAAGTCTTGCTGTGTTGGTCAAGTGCAGTAACTATTCATAGACACGATCATAGCTCACTGCGTTATCGAACTCTGGGTCTCAGTGGATCTTCCTGCCTCAGCCTCCTGAGTAGCTGGGACTATAGACACACACTACCATGCATGGCTACCATCTCTGAATTTTTCAGGATGGTATGGCCTTGGGCAAGAACTTTCTGTGCCTCTGTTTCCTCATCTTTAAAGTTAAAGAGTATGGCTGGGTATGGTGGCTCATGCTTGTAATCCCAGCACCCCAGGAGCTTGAGGCTGAGGTAAACTGAACACGCCACTGCACTCTAGCCTGGACAATGGAGTGAGACCTCGGCTCAAAAATAAATAAGTAAATACATAAATAAAGTTAGGGAGTAGAGCAGGCTTTTCCTGAGGATCTGTCCAACTGTGACATTCTATGTTTCTTTGTCCCAGCCCTGAGGTGCCATGCCAGCTTGTGGGCTCTTGTCCTTCTCTCTAAAGGGGCCCTTGGAGCCAGGTGTGGTGGCTCATGCCTGTAATCCCAGCATTTTGGGAGGTGGAGGCAAGAGGATTGCCTGAGTCCATGGGTTTGAGACCAACTTCGGCAACATGGCAAGACGTCGTCTGTACAATAAAGAAAAAAAAAAAAAAAAAAAGAATTAGCTTGGCGTGGTAACATACACCTTAGTTCCAGCTACTTGGAAGGCTGAGGTGGAAGGATCGCCTGGGCCCATCAGGTCGAGGTTGTAGTGTCTGTGAGCATGCCACTGCATTCCAGTCTGGGCAAAAGAGTGAGACTCCAACTCAAAAATAAAAATAAAAATAAAGGGGCCCTAGGAACTCCAAGCCACTTACAGCTTTTGCTGCCTCAGCCAGCGGCATATGGACAAGAAAGCTGAAGAGGAAGGCTTCTCTATGCCTGGGGACAAGTGCCGGGAGGCGGGAGGCTTGGCCTGTGTCTCACTTTGCCTAGTGTCTTTGGACCAATCACTATGCCTTCTGCACATGGTGTGGTTCCTCTGTAGAGCAGATGCAAGGGTGCTTTCCTGCCAGTTTTGTGGGTCATTCCAGCTGCCTCCAGTGAGCTCCCCGTTCCTATCTCACCTGCTTCATCCAGCTGTTCTGCCACACTGTAGTCGGGATGATCTTTGATTTTTTTATTTTTAGTTTTTAGAGACAGGGTCTCGCTCTGTTGCCCAGACTGAGTGCAGTGGGGCAATCATAGCTCACTGTAGCCTTGAACTCCTGGGCTTAAGTGGTCCTCCCACCTCAGCCTCCAGAGTAGCTGAGATTACAGGTGCATGCTGCCACGCCTGGCTAATTTTTGAATTTTTTTGTAGAGACAAGGTCTTGCTATGTTATTCAGGCTAGTCTCACAACTCCTGGCTTCAAGAGATTCTCCTGTCCTGGTCTCCTAAAGTGCTGTGATTGCAGGAATGAGCCACTGCGCCCAGCCAATCTGCACTTTTTAACATGAGAACCTAAGCTTGTTTTCCTTCTGCTTAAAATTCTTCTGGCCCCGAGAAGGATCAAACTCTGCAGCACAGCACTTGAAGCCTTTGACAACTTGGTCCCTGTCACTTCCCTTGTGCCTTCTCCACAGACTTCTGATCTCAAGCCATAGACAACTACAGGGAGTTTGAGAAAAGCGACATTGGTTCCATGCATGCCCTCCCTGCCTTCCAGATTGCTGACTCCACACAAACTTCCAGGGATCACCCCACCTCGCCCCACTCTCTTCTGAGCTCCCTTCTCCAGCTCATGCCTGTAAACCCAGCGCTTTGGGAGGCCAAGGTGGAAGGACTGCTTAAGCCCAGGAATTCAAGACCAGCCTGGGCAACAGAGCAAGACCTCATCTCCACAAAAAATGAAAATTACAAAAATTAGCTGTGTGTGGTGGTGCACACCTGTACTCCCAGCTACTCAGGAGGCTGAGGTGGAAGGATCGCTTGACCTCTGGAGGTTGAGGCTGTGGTGAGCCAGGATCCTGCCACTATACTCCAGCCTGGGTGATAGAGTGAGACCCTGACTCAAAATAAAAAAGCACAAAGAGAGCGTGAACTCCCTTCTCCGCCTAAATTCCTCCTTGGGGTTCATATCATACCCTATACTGGTTATCTGTTGCTGTGTAAAAATCATCCCAAAATTTAGCATCTTCAAATAACAAACATGGAACATCTCACACAGTCTCTGAGGGTCAGGTATCCAGGGGCAGATTCTGGTTCAGGGTCTCTCATGAGGCTTCAGTGGTGCGGCAGTCATGGAAGACTTGAGTGACTGAAGGGTCCACTGGGGTGCTGGGGTTACTGGGGTGCATTTAGCTTATTTCTATTTTTGTATTGTTACAGTGATGTTCCTAGAAGTATCAATACATAAAAACTTTTCTATATTCTAGATGATTTACTTAGCACAGATCCCCAAGGTAGTATTATTGGGTCAAAGGATTTGAACATTTTCATGGGGGTCACCAGCTTCTTTGAATTTTTACCTACATGGTAAATCCTTTCTCATTATCCTTTCTCCTCAGACCTCTCTGTTTTGTTGTCAGAATTCTTAGTTGCTCATAACATCCCACTCTAACGATTTTGAACAGAAGGGATTTCATTGGGCAATATTAAATAACTCAGGAATCTTTGGGAGGCCAGAGAACCAGGCTGGAATGCTGTGCAGTCAGGGACGATACAGCCAAAAACTTACCCAATGGCACCAAGTTGGCGTCATTTCTTTCTTTCTTTTTTTTTTTTTTTTGCTGTGGTGTAATCATAGCTCATTGCAGCCTCAAACTCCTGGCCTCAAGACATCCTCCTGCCCCAGCCTCCCAAGTAGCTGGGATTTCAGGCACAAGCCTTCACGCCCAGCTAATTAAAAAAAAATTTTTTTTTTTGCTAGAGATGGGGATTTCACTATGTTACCTAGGCTGATCTCAAACTCCAATCCTCCCACCCTAGCCTCCAAAAGTGCTGGGTTTACAGGCATGAGCCACCTTGCTGGCCTTCCAAGTGAACTTTTAAAGATGACCTACTGTGTTAGTCGCGGAGGCGGGGATCGGACGCTGGGAAGTCACTGGACTCCACAGGCTCCTGTATTAAAAACTCCCTTGGTCTCAAACAGTCCTCCCACCTTGGCCTCCCAGAGTGTTGAGATTACAGGCGTGAGTCACCACTCCCGGCCCCTCTTTCAAACTTTATAACTGGAAAAGAGGCCAAATGGGAACAAGAAGGTCAATGCCAAAGGTTGCTATATACTCAAAAGAGGTGACAAAAAGATCCAGACAAAAATATTGCTCTTTCCCTCGCTAGGAAGTTGTTTCTGTGGCAAGGTCTTGCCAGTCGTGCCATCGGACTCCTCTCGCTGGACACAGTATCCTCCTCTGGACTGTCACCTCAAGACTGTCCTGTCTGTCCTTAGGGTCACATTGTCCACAACTGGAAGGCACGATGGTTCATCCTTCGGCAGAACACGCTGGTGTACTACAAGCTTGAAGGGGGTCGGAAGGTGACCCCTCCCAAGGGCCGAATCCTCCTGGATGGCTGCACCATCACCTGCCCCTGCCTGGAGTATGACAACCGACCCGTAAGTGAAGGCTCCGTTACCTGTGCCTCGCCCTTCCCATCCCTGACCTCTTTGGGGAGGGTGGTGTGGGTGATAAGAGGAGCTCAGAGTTGTCACTGAAAAACTTGGGTTCAAAACCTGGCTCTACCATGTTGTGTGTGACCTTGGGCAAGGAGTTAAATCTCTCTGGGCCTTTGTTCCTCAGCTAGAAAGTGAGATAAAATCGCCGGGCGTGGTGGCTCATGCCTGGAATTCCAGCACTTTGGGAGGCAAAGGTGAGAGGATTGCCTGAGCTCAGGGGTTTGAGACCATCCTGAGCAACATGGCAAGACCTCATCTCTACAGAAAATCAAAAAATTAGCCAGGCCTGATGGCACATGCCTATGGTTCCACCTACTTGGAAGGCTGAGGCAGAAGGATCGCCAGAGCCTAGCAGGTTGAGGCTGCGGTGGCCGTGAGCAGCGTGCTACTGCACTCCAGCCTGGGCGACGGAGCCAGACTCCGACTCAAAAAAATAAAAAAGAAAGAAAATGGGATAAAATAATTACACCTGAGTATCTACTTGGTTGTGCTGGGATCATGAGGTTCATGGCATTTTAGAACACTTCCTCCTATGAGGCAGGCACTACACAAAGATGAATAATTACTGCCATCTCAGGCTTTAGCACAATGGCTTCTATCACCTGGGGGATGGATGTGTTCCAGGGGTCAGGGGTGGCTTGAATCCTACCCATCAAAAAAGTAAATCAGCCGGGCTTGGTGGCTCAGCCTGTAATCCCAGCACTTTGGGAGTGGATTGCCTGAACCCGAGGGTTTGAGACCCGCCTGGGCAACTTGGCGAGACCTCATCTCTACAATAAATCAAAAATTAGCTGGGTGTGGTAGCGCGTGCCTGTAGTTCCAGCTACTTGGAAGGCTGAGGCAGAAGGATTGCCGGAGCCCAGCAGGTAAAGGCTGCAGTGGCCGGGAGCGGCCACTGCAATCCAGTCTGGGTGACAGAGTGAGACTCCAACTCAAAAAAAAAAAAAAAGTAAATCAGCCAATCATTTATGGAAGACCCATTACGTGCCAGTAAATTCTACTAGGAACTGAGCTTGGTTCCTCATTTTAGTCTAAGAGAGTTCTCCTCAGGCTTTTCTCCCACTGAAAACCTGCAGTGGCTCTCCGTTACCTCTATCTGGTCTGAACCAAACTCCAATCACCCCTTTCGTGAATGGAGGAGTCAAGGAAGGAAATGGTATGATGGTTTCTTCATGGAGTTAATCATCTTAGTGGGAAAACTAGTGATAAATTGAAAACCTTTTGGCATTCCGAGGCTGGGCATGGGCTCATACCTGTAATCACAGCACTTTGGAAGGCTGAGGCGGGAGGATTGCTTGAGCCTAGGAATTGGAGACCAGCTTGGACAACATAGTTAGACCTGTTCTGTACTACAAAATTACAAAATTAGCCAGGCTTGGTGGTATGCGCCTATAGTCCCAGCTTGGTGGCATGCTCCTGTAGTCCCACTCATGAAGCTGAGGTGGGAGGATTGCCTGAGTCCAAAAGGTTGAGACTGTGGTAAGCCATGATGGTGCCACTGCACTCCAGCCTGGGTGACAGAGTGAGACCTCGACTCAAAACAAACAAAACAAAACAAAGCAAAAATACTCTAGATCTCAATAAATGAAAGCCTGAATGTGCAGATTAAATTGCTACTGACCTTGATGATATCTGAGGCCATGGTCCCCAACCTTTTGGCATCAGGGACCAGTATCATGGAAGACAATTTTTCCACACATGGGGGAGGGGGGAGGATGGTTTGGGGATGTTTAAAGGGCCCAACATTTATTATACACTTTATTTCTATTATTATTACATTGTAATATATAATGAAATAATTATACAACTCACCATAAAAAAGGTACAGATGGAAGTGATAAATAAAATAATGAGTATGCCACGTGCGGACTAAAATAAGTGTCAGATTCTGATTTAAAGGCTGCTACTAGATGCAGCTGTACAGTTGAAGACATCAACTCACTTGCCACTCAGTGATAGGGTTTTGATAGGGTCTGATTTACTATGGTCTCTGTGCAGTCAAACTTCACTGCTAATTTTTTTTTAATGAATTAAGAAAGGGAGATTTATTAAAGGGAGGATGCATTATGAAGGGTACAATGGGCGGTATAGCAGAGTCTGCCTGCTAATGTTAATCTGTATTTGCAGTCGCTCCCCAGTGCTAGAATCATCGCCTCAGCTCCACCTGAGATCATCAGGCATTAGGTTCTCACAAGGAGTGCACAGCCTAGATCCCTCACATGTGCAGTTCACAATAGAATTCGCACTGCTATGCAAATGTAATGCCACCGCTGATCTGGCAGAAGATGGAACTCGGCAGTAATGTGAGTGATGAGGTGCGGCTGTAAATACAGATGAAGCTTCGCTCACTTGCTCACCACTCACTTCCTTCTGTGTGGCCCAGTTCCTGACAGGCCACGGACCGCTTCTGCGGCCCGGGGTTTGAGGACGCCTGTCCTAGGAAACAGTGGGGAGCAGATGTGCTGGTAGGATGGGCTGGAGAGAGGAGAACTCTGTTCTACGCTTTAAAAAAGGGAAACAGGTTAGATTTACTAACTGGGGTTGTGAGCTTCATGGTGATTCTACATAAAATGCTCAAACAAATTGTTATCTGCATGGTTTGTGAGTACGTGGGCAGGAAGATTTTATTTATTTATTTATTGGGTCAGAATCTCACACTGTCTCCCAGGCCAGAGTACAGTAGCACAATCAAGGGTTGCCACAGTCTTGACCTGTGGGACTCAGGCGATCCTCCTGCCTCAGCCTCTCAAGTAGCTGGGATTACAAGGTGCACACCACCTCATCTGGCTAATTTCCTTCTTAAAAATTTTTTTTTTTTTTTTAGTTGGAGTCTCACTGTCGCCCAGACTGGAGTGCAGTGGCCGCTCCCGGCCACCGCAGCCTCAACCTGCTGGGCTCCGGCGATCCTGCCGCCTCAGCCTTCCAAGTAGTTGGAACTACAGGCAGGCGCTACCGCGCCCGGCTGATTTTTTGATTTATTGTAGAGATGAGGTCTTGCCAAGTTGCCCAGGCGGGTCTCGAACCTGCGGGCTCAGGCAATCCACTCACTTTAGCCTCCCAAGGCACAGGATTACAGGCTGAGCCACCGAGCCCGGCCTTTTTAAAATTAAAAAAAATTTTTTATAGAGATGAGGTCTTGCTATGTTGCCCCAGCTAGTCTCAAACTCCAATCCTTTTGCCACAGCCTCCAGAAGTGCTAAGATTACAGGCATGCGCCACTATGCTGGCCTTCCTAGGGAACCTGTAAAGACCAGCTACTGTGTTGTTCTGGGAAAGGGGGTTGGACACGGAGCCATCACTGTACTCCATGGTCTCCTGGATTCACTGAGGTCCCACCATCTTTGCCGCCTGCATTCCCTTGCTGCTGTGCCTCTGGGTGCTGGTCTGACTGCCCATCTCGCCCCACAGCTCCTCATTAAGTTGAAGACACGAACATCCACGGAGTACTTCCTGGAGGCATGTTCCCGAGAGGAGAGGGACGCCTGGGCCTTCGAGATAACAGGGGCCATCCATGCAGGGCAGCCAGGGAAAGTCCAGCAACTCCACACACTGAAAAACTCCTTTAAGCTGCCCCCTCACATCAGCCTGCAGTGAGTGCCCACCCACTTGCCCCTGCCCTGCTTGGCTTTATTGCAGCCTCTCCTGTCTGTGCAGTGGAGAGGGGACCCAGCCCCTCCAGGGAGCTCTTTGCTTGCTGCATAGCCTGACTGGCACTACCATTGTGCTTCAGGTCCTTCCTCGCCCCTGTACTGTTTATATTGGTTTCCCTACCTGGGAGTGGCCCTATCTACCTACCCCATTCCCATGTGATCTCTTGGGGTCCCTGTAGCTTATTTTTCTTCTTTTTAAAAACTTTTTTCCTTTATTTTAGTAGCTATACGGGGGTTCAAATAGTTTGGGGTCACAGGGTTGCATTGTATGTTGGTGAGCCTGCCACTTTTAACCACCACCATGGCCAAGAGCCCCTTCCGTTTCATCTAGGATGCTCAGGGCTGTGTCATAGCTTCCCAAAAATCTTGTCTTAATCTGTTTTCTGTTGCTTATAACAGAATACCTGAAACTGGGTAATTTATAAAGAAAAAGAACTTATTTTGGACACTTATAGAGGCTGATAAGTCCAAGGTCAAGGGGCTGTGTCTAGTGAGGACCTTCTTGCTGGTGGAGACTCTGTAGTCACGAGGAGGTGCAGGGCATCTGGTGCCGAGGGGCTAAGCATGCTCATGTTCTAGCATGGGTCTCTTCCTCTTCCTGTAAAGCCACCAGTTCCCCTCCTATGATAACCCATTAACCCATGAATGAGTTAATCCATTCACAAGGGCAGAGCTCTCATGACCCAATCTCCTCTAAAAAGTGTCACCTTTCACCAGGTGCAGTGGCTCAGTCCTGTAATCCCAGCACTTTGGGAGGCTGAGGTGAGAGGATTGCCTGAGCCCAGGGGTTTGAGACCAGCCAGGCAACTTGGTAAGACCTCATCTCTACAATAAATCAAAAACTTAGCTGGGCACGGTGGTGCATGCCTGTAGTTCCAGCTACTTGGAAGGCTGAGGCAGAAGGGTCACCTGAGTCCAGCGAAGCCGTGTGCCCAGCGAAGCCGTGAGCAACACCATTGCACTCTATCTAGCCTGGGTGACAGAGGAAGACTCTGACTCAAAAAAAAAAAAAAAAAAAAAGTGTCACCTCTCAATGCTGCCACCTAGGGGGCTAAGTTTCAACGTGCATTTGGGAGGAGACAAACATTCAAATCACAGCGGTCAGTGGCCTTGCTCACTGCCTGGTGGCAAGAATGATGTGTTCTGGCAGCAGCTACCTCCCTGCTTATTGGGATTCTTAATTCATGCATTCAGTAAATAGTTATTGAGTGCCTACTGCATGCCAGGCCCAGTGCTAGGTGCTTAGCAGCTGCAGTAGGAACAAATAAAGTTTCATCTCAGGAACTTTCCAGCCTAAGTAGATAAGTAGAAGATGGGAAGAGACTTTCTGTTGGTGGCAATAACTGGCCTACAGAGTAGAAGAAAAACTGTTCAGTGTTGGAGCTGATTAGTATGTAAAGTAGGGATATATGAAAGGAGATCCCATCCTCATGAGGGAAAGTGTTCCCTCTTCAGGAAAAGCCCCCAGCCTCCCAGGCCTCAGAACTGTTACACCCATCGAAGATATGCTGTGAGTCCATTCCTGGGCTCATAACAACTCCCTGCCAGGCACTGAAACCTTTTTTTTTGGAGTCTGTTGCCCAGGCTGGAGGGCAGTGGCACTATCATGGCTCACCGCAGCCTTGAACTTCTGGGCTCAGGCAATCTTTCCGCCTCAGCCTCCCAAGTGGCTGGAACTACAGGTGTGTGCTACCATACTGGCTGATTTTTTCTTTCTTTTTTAGATTTATTGTAGAGATGAGGTCTCACTATGTTGCCTAGGCTGGTCTCGAACTCCTGGGCTCAACCAGTCCTCCCACTTCAGCCTTCCAAAGTGCTGGGATTACAGGCGCGAGTCACTGTGCCTGGCCCCGGGCACTGAAACCTTGACTGTACCCTTCTACGGGTCTAGGGAGCTGCTGAACCCTGGTGGGTGTAGGGGGGAGCAGCTGCAGGTAAGGGCGGGTAGGTGTGTGCGTTCAAAGATGGTCTGAAGGGTAACTGGAGGGGTTTAGACTAAATGCAGGAGGTCACAGAGAATCATGTGTGCTACTGTACACTCTTGCTTTTAAGTTAAAAGTCACAACTCCTTAGTCTTACTATAAAAGTAGCACATGTAGGGCAACCCCTTCTGGTCCCTTCACACTGTGGGAGCTTTTCTGTCTTCTCAATAAATCCTGCTTCAACAAAAAAAAGTAGCACATGTAGCCAGGTGTGGTGGCTCACGCCTCCTGTAATTCCAGCAAATTGGGAGGTGGAGGCAAGAGGATTGCCTGAGCCCAGGGGTTCGAGACTAGCCTGGGCAACTTGGCGAGACCTCATTTCTACAATAAATCAAAAAATTGACCGGGTGTGGTGGTGTGTGCCTATGGTTCCAGCTACTTGGAAGACTGAGATGGAAGGATTGTCTGAGCCCAGCAGGTCAAGACTGCGGTAGCCATGATCATGCCACTGGACTTCAGCCTGGGCAGCAGAGTGAGACTCCAACTCAAACATAAAATAAAATAGAAGTAGCACCTGTTTAGTATAGAAATATTAGAACATTTAGATGACCAAGAAGAAGAAAAGAAATGTCCGAAGATCCTGCCTCTCGAATTCTGATGAGTAGCTGAATACCCCATGTTCTGGGATGAACAGGTTTATGCAAACCTCCCCTCAAAGGCTGAGGGAGTGGAGAGGCTGAAGAAAGCCTGATAAATCCAGTTTCTCAGAAAGAAACATTTAATAGGGACAGAAATAATGTCTTGGGCTGCTGAGAGAGACGGTGGATTGCTGCACCCACTCCAGAAAATATCTTTCATAGAGTAAACTTTTTTGGTAAAACGTGGTGATGCCTCACACTTTCTGGCGAAGCTCATGACCATTGGGAAGGTTTGAAAGCATCTTTATGAGGGGTGATCTATGCTATGGGAACACCTTGGTATGCTCAGGGGGTCAAACATTGGTCATTGTGGTGGCTTCACCCCAAGATGGCATCATTCTTGCCACACAACAGGCTGTTTTCTTATACCCCCTTTCTTTTTTATTATTATTACTTTTTATTTTTTGAGTTAGGGTCTCACTCTGTCATGCAGGCTGGAGTGTGCAGTAGCATGATCATGACAATCATGGCTGATGGCAACCTTGATATCCTGCGCTGAGGTGATCCTTCTACCTCAGCCTCCTGAGTAGCTGGGACTACAGGTGTGCACCACCACGCCTGGCTAATTTTTTAAAAAGTTTTTTGTAGAGATGAGGTCTTGCTACATTGCCCAGGCTGGTCTTGAACTCCTGGGCTCAAGCAATCCTCCTACCTAGGCTTCCCACAGTGCTGGGATTACAGGCCTGAACCACCGAGCCCAGTCCTTACACCCCCTTTCTTAGTGGCATGTATCAACCGTTTGCCACTTGCTTTATGCCCTCAGCAGTGACTCTTGGACCCTTCTTTGTACCTGTCGGTGTGACGAGGGTCTCCCCACTTTGCCTTCCCTTCCATGTAGTCGCATTGTGGACAAGATGCATGACAGCAGCAACGGAATCCGTTCAAGCCCCAACATGGAGCAGGGAAGCACCTACAAAAAGACCTTCCTAGGTGAGCCTGCCCCAGGAGCTGGGCTGGGGCCCTGGGACATGGTGATCTGGGGCTCAGCCATATGCTTGACCAGCTTGAACTGAGGCCAGAGCTGCCAGATGGCCAATGGCCTGGCCTGGCCAGAGATGGCCACAAGTGAGTGTAGCCACGATTCTGTGCAGCGGGAATGGCTTCAGGCTGCTCTTGGGTAGAGCCTGGAGGCCGCCTGGGAGGTCAAGGTCCATGAGGCCATTGCTCAGGCACCTCAAGGAAGCTGGCCATAACCCGCTGGCTGACTGGCACTGCCCTTGGCCAGGCTCCTCCCTGGTGGACTGGCTCATTTCCAACAGCTTTGCTGCCAGCCGTCTGGAGGCGGTGACCCTGGCCTCCATGCTCATGGAGGAGAACTTCCTCAGGCCGGTGGGTGTCCGAAGCATGGATGCCGTTCGCTCTGGGGACCTGGCCGAGCAGTTCCTGGATGACTCCACGGCCCTGTACACTTTTGTAAGTTAAGGAACTGGTGGGCTGGGAGCGGTGGCTCACACCTGTAATCCTGGCACTTTGGGAGGCCGAGACGGGGGGATTGCTTGGGCCCAGGAGTTCAAGACCAGCCCGGGCAACAGAATGAGACCTAGTCTCTACAAAAAAAAATACTAGCCAGGTGTGATGGTGTGCACCTGTTGTCCCAGCTACTTAGAAGCTGAGGTGGATTGACTGCCCAAACCCAGGTGGTTGAGGCTGCGGTGAGCCAAGATGGTGCCTCTGCACTCCAGCCCGGGTAACAGAGTGAGACCCTGACTCAAAAAAAACGAGTGGGTTGTTCTTATCACCAAGGTAGAGAGAAGGAAGAGGCCACAGAACCAGGAGCCTTGGGGGTCCATGGTCTTAGGGAGAGGCCTGGGGTTTGGGGGACCGCTTCATCCTGAGCTGAAGAGGGTTTTATGTTGAGGCATTTCCTTTCCCTTCTGGCTGGCCTGGGTCTTTTCCGTGACTGGGTCCTGCTCTTTCCTCCCCACTAGGCTGAGAGCTACAAGAAGAAGACAAGCTCCAAGGAAGAAGTCAGCCTGGGCATGGTGGAGCTGAGCGGCATGGTGGTCAAACAAGGCTACCTGGTCAAGCAGGTGTGACTGCCTTGGAGTAGGAGGAGACGGACAGTGCTCTAACCCAGGGGAGGCAGGAGCAGGCTTAGAGGGAGGGAGGGCTGAGGCTGCCTGGAGGCACTAAGTATTAGCAGAATCTGCTTAATGAGGAGCCTTGTGCCAGCATGTCAAAAAATATGCAGACGCCTACTCATGAGGGCACCAGACACAAGGGTCGTTCAGGGAAAACGCACTGCGTACACATGTGATTATCACCACTCAGGTTCATGTATTTGTCTTGCAGTGTTTTTCTGTTTGTTCTTTTGAGACAGGGTCTCACTCTGTTGCCCAGGCTGGAGGACTGGAGTACAGTGGCATGATCATAGCTCACTGCGGCTTCAACCTCTAGGGCTCAAGTGATACTCCCACCTTAGCCTCCCATTTAGCTGGGACCGCATGCAGCTTTAAAAAATTTTTTTTATGGTGGAAACGTGGGTCTTGCTATGTTCCCCAGGGTCTTGAACTCCTGGCCTCAAGTGATCCTTCCATCTCGGCCTCCCAAAGTACTGGGATTACAGGCATGAGCCACCATGCCCGGCCTGTCTTGGAAGATGTTGCCGACCAGCTTAATGTCCTGCATTTGTTGGCATTCTGCTCCCTGGGGCTTCCTGGGGTCTCTGCCTTCCTTGGGGAGGCTCTGCATATCCCCTTGTTTCACTTTCTGAACTACAAATAATTGTTTTCTCCACCATGTTGGTAGGCCGAAGATCACATTTTGTGGTATAAGCTCAGTGTTTAGAACCTGGCTGTGACATGACACCCACACCTAACCGTGTTTGGGAGAACGACCATGTTAAACTAGAGGCAAAACGTGTCCCAGTCACCCCTGCAGTGTGCCCAACAAAAAAAGGGAATTCTGGGAACAAAACCACCACATCCCTGGCACAGGAAGAGCAATGGATGTTTTGCACAGCCCCGGGTCTTGTCTCTGCACATTATCTAGCAACTGCACATGCGTGTCTGTACAATGGGCACGAACACTGTTCATCGCCATTCCCTTTGTGACTTGGAGCACGCAATGTTGTCACCTCTTAGGTTACTGACCATCCACACAAACGCCAGTCTACCCCAAGGGTCCTATTTCTGCTGGGCATGATGGGAGTCCTTCCTGAGGGGAGATAGAGAGGCCCCTGAGAGCTTGAGGAGTTGCGGAAGGAACTCTGAAGGTGTTTCTGACTGGGAGGTCTAAGGAAGGTCTGTGATCTAAGGCATGAGGCCAAGGAAAGTCACCCACACACACACGCGTGCGCTCGCGCGCGCACACACACACACACATCAGTATTGTACACTTTTAGATTTTCTCATATAATTAATTGTTTCTTGCTTCTTTTTTTTAAATTGAAGTCTCTCTCTGTTGCCCAGGCTGGGGTGCAGTGGCATGCTCATAGCCACTGCAGCCTCGACCTGTTGGGCTCAGGCAAACCTTTCACCTCAGCCTTCAAAGTAGCTGGAACTACAGGCATGCGCCACCATGTCTGGCTAATTTTTATAATTTATAGTAAAGACAAGGTCTTGCTATGTTGCCCAGGCTGATCTCAAACCCTTGGGCTCAGGCTATCCTCCCGCCTCAGCCTCCCAAAGTGCTGGGATTATAGGCGTGAGCCACTGCACCAGGCCTCTCACTTTCTTTCTTTCTTTTTTTTTTTGTTTTTTTTTTGAGTGGAATCTTACTCTGTCACTCAGGGTGGAGTGCAGTGGCACACTCATGGCCACCGCAGCCTCGACCTGCTGGGTTCTGACGATCCTTCCATCTCAACTTTCCAAGTAGCTGGAACTACAGGCATGCACCACCATGCCCGGCTAATTTTTTGATTTATTGTAGAGATGAGGTCTCGCCACTTTGCCCAGGCTGGTCTTGAACGCATGGGCTCAGGCAATTTTCTTTCCTCAGCCTCCCAAAGTGCTGGGATCATAGGCGTGAGTCACTGTGTCTGGCCTCTCTTTTTTCTTAATGCACAGTGCTGAAGTGGTCTTACCATCTGTGGGCACATGTGTGAAGTGCTCTGGTGCACTTGTGGCTGTGGGTTTGTTTTTGGACTAAGTTGACCCTTACAAAGTTTGAGTCTGCCGTGAGCGCCCAGTCCAGTTGACGCCTGCCACCGCCTTATCCTTCTTTATGCCTAAGTGGTGTCCGGGTAACGTGCCCCTTTTCCTTTGGCGCTGACTGTTCTAGGCTCTGTCGACTTGACTGCACACGATAGCGTTTTTGCTCATGTGTCTCTGAGCAGGGATGGTGTCCGGGAAGACCGCGGCCTTGCAGTCCTTGGCTTTTCTATCGACCTGTCGTAGAATGTAGTCCCATCGGAGCAGGCTGGCATGCGGGGGAACTGGTATTAGATGTCTGGAAACAGGAAGAGGGGCGTACAGCTGTCCTCAGTAAGCGTTGAACCCCCTCTTTGCCTCAGGGGCACAAGAGGAAAAACTGGAAGGTGCGCCGCTTCGTTCTGAGGAAGGACCCAGCTTTCCTGCATTATTATGACCCTTCCAAGGTGAGTGCTGCCTGCTGGTTCGTCCTGTGTTGTGCCCCAAACACTCCTCGGGTCCCCAGTGGAGCTCCCTTCCTCCAGCACCCATGCACCTTCCCGCAGTCCAGGCGCCTCTGCCCTTTCCGCACCGTTGCCTGCTTCTTTGCTTTTTTCTTTTGGAGTTGGAGCCTCACTCTGTTGCCCGGGCTGGAGTGCAGTGACACAACCATGGCTTACTGTAGCCTCGACCTTGGTTCAGGCGATCTACCCACCACAGCCTCCTTAGTACCTGGGACTACAGTTGCATACCACCACACCCAGCTCATTTTAAAATTTTTTTGTAGAGACGAGGTCTTGCTATGTTGCCCTGCATGGTCTTGAGCTCCTGTGCTTAAGTGATCCTCCTGCCTCGACCTCTCAGAGTGCAGGGATTACAGGCCACCGAGCCTGGCTTCAAGTCCTTTTAAGCAAAGAAAAAAATAAGGAGATGTATGAAATAAATGCTTCACTTTTGCATTCAACTCACCACAGTCCAGCCCAACCTAATTTCTTCATGCCCTTTTGGAGTCTATCTCCACCCGGCACCATCTTAGACATTTAGCGATTAGCTTGCTCCTGGCTTTGTGGTTATTCTTCCCGCTGTTTGGGCTGAAGGTCCTCTCCTATCCCCAGAACTTTCTCCCCTTTAAGACCCAGTTCAAGCCTCCTGTCCTTTCTGAGGCTGCCCATGAGCCCTCCAGACTGGGGTAGATCCCTTCCTCCTGGAACTCTACCCCTTTGGGTTCCAATAGTATAAATATGTTCAGTATTTTTATTTAGCTTCTTTGTTTTTTGCCCTACTTATTGCAGAATGAAGTTTTTTATTTATTTATTTTTAATTTTTAAAAATAGAGACAGAGTCTCATTATATTGTTTAGGCTGGTCTCGCACTCCTGGCCTCATGTGATCCTCCTGCCTTGGCCTCCCAAAGTGCTGGGATTACAGGCATGTGCCACCATGCCCCGCTTAAGTATGAAGTTGATTATTGATCATTTGAAGGGATCCAGGGACCCGAGGCTTGAGGTGTTTCAAATTGCTCCAAGTCTTCCAGAGATACCACCAACCATGGTTTTGTTTCTCCAAAGTTTCATGTGGGGCGCATACAAGAGACTTGTATAATGCTGTTCAGTATGCTAGAATCTATCAATTTTGCAGAAATGAAAACTGTGATGTATTTTTTCTGATTGGTTGGTAAGATGCATACAAGGGTTAAGGAAGCAAGGGCCTGCTCCTCCTGATAGAACGTTGGAGCTGAGGCTTTGTTTGAGAATGTCTCCAGGAATGAAGAGCAGATTAATTTTCAAGCAGGCCATACTTGGTAGCAGCAGCATTGATGGGCACTGCTGCTGGCTGTGAATTGAAGAAGCCCAGACTTCCTTTCTGGTGCATGCAACTTGGCCATGTGATATCCAAGTTCAGCTTCTTCTTCTTGTTTTTTTTTAAAAAATTTTATAGAGAGAGGGTCTTGCTATGTTGTTATGTTGCCCAAGCTGGTCGTTGAATACCTGGGCTCAAGGGATCCTCCCACCTCAGTCTCCCAGGGTGTTGGGATTATAGGCTTGAGCCACTGTAGCTGGCCCGGGACCTCATCTGACAACTAACTTGCACTGACTTCTTTGGCTGGCCTGCGGTCTAGGGGCGAGTGCAAGTCTTCCCTTTTGTGCATTCACCAGTCCCTAATTAGGTTTCCTTTCTTTTCCTCTGCAGGAGGAGAACAGGCCAGCGGGTGGGTTTTCTCTCCGTGGCTCTCTGGTGTCTGCTCTGGAAGATAATGGCGTTCCCATGGGTAAGGTGTAACTTCGGCCCCCGCCTGAAGATCTCAGGGACCTCCCTCCTGCACCTCAATAATGTCCCACTGATGAAAGACTGAGTTTGGGAGCTGAGTAGGGCTTAGTGGGACAATGAATGGTGTGAGCTTTGAAGCAAATTTCAGAATTAGAGAAAGGGTATGTGGGGTGTTCTGAGTCTTTTAAGAGTACAACTGAGTAATTCCTTTCTCTAATATTCTTCCCCCCTCAGTATCTTTGCTGATGGCCATGAGCTTCCACCTGAGAATAACAGCTAAGACTTACGCCGTGCCTTAGGGTTAGCGCCATACTTTAATATCTATAATCACACTAATTGCGCAACAGCCAGCTATGGCAGGAAGAGAAATTGAGGTTCAAAGAAGTTAAACAGTTTGTGGTCAGACTCCAAATTCTGTGCCTGGTTTTAACATAAACAGGCTGGATCCTTTGATGTGAATGAGACTGTAGATCTGTGGCTTCAGAGAGGCCGGAAAGGGAGGCTTCCAGGAATGTCCCAACAGAACCATTTCAGGCCTGAAGGTGCTGGCGAGGGAGAGGGTGTGGGAGGGAGGAGCGGGCAGCATGTCTGGGAAACTCCCTGGCCATCTACCTTTATATTTAAGAAATGCTTCATTATATTTGTTTCTTTCCATGTCCCCGCTTTCAGCTAGCTCAAACTGAAAGCAGACATGGATATTCAATCGCTGATTTTTTTTTTTCTGCTTAGGGGTGAAAGGAAATGTCCAGGGAAATCTCTTCAAAGTGATCACTAAGGATGACACACACTACTACATCCAGGCCAGCAGCAAGGCTGAGCGGGTGGAGTGGATTGAAGCCATCAAAAAGCTAACATGACAGGACCTACAGGAACTGGACCAAGATTTCTCACTCCACCAGATACTGCAGATAGAATTTTCTGGAGAATGGGGATGCGTTAAGACTTAACTCTTTTTTTTTTTTTTTTTTTAAGAGACAGGGTCTTGCTGTCTTGCCCAGGCTGGAACGCAGTGGCATGATGATCTTAATACAGCCTCGAACTCTTGGGTTCAAGCCATCCTCCCGCATAGCTGCACACCGCCACACCTGGCTAATTTAAAATTTGTATTTTGTAGAGACAGAGGTCTCTCTACGTTGTCCAGGCTGGTTTTGAACTCCTAGCCTCAAGTAGTCCTCCCCATCTCAGCCTCCCAATGTGGTGGGATTCGGTGTGAACCACCACTCCTGGCAAGACTTTTAACTTTTTTGTACATTTTGTACTGCTTTGGAGTGCGAATGCTGGAGTCCCTCAGGTCCCAAATGGCTGTGGTGCTATTTCCTTCCCCATCATTGGGTTACCAAGCTGGAAAGGCTAGAGCAGCCAGGAGGCATCAGCATCTCTACTTTCTCCATAATCACAACCCTTTCCTTAGGCACCAGAGTAGGTTCCCTTTGTTGGTACAAAAACACTGGCCGTGCTGTAATGCTAAATAAAACTCTACCCTCATGTGGCTCTCCCTTAACTCCTTTTTTGAAATGAATAAGAATTGACATTTCTTTCCGGCTATTAGAATCCTAAGGAAACATTTCAAGTATGTTCATCACTAAGATACTTCATCTTAAAGTGGGGGATGGTGGCAAAACTTTGGTTGGACATGCAGTTTGTTTTGCTTTGGAAAATAAGCCCGCATAAGTGTTATACATTGTAGTAAGTCATGGGCTCAGCTGAATAAGTTAGTCACATATGCAAAAAGAAAAAAAAGGTAAAAACATAGTTTTTCTATGAAAAAAGGTATTTCGAAAGAGATGCCAAGCAGGAGCTCTCTAAAGGACAGAGAAGACATAAATGGGGCAGATTTAAATCAAGGCATGAAATTTGGGTTTTAAAATGAACCTTGACAGAGGCAAATAGATACCAAGAAACTTCACCAGCTGGGAGGTTAATTTGAAATAGTGAAAAGTCTATCATACAATATTTTTACAGAACATTTTTATTACTTTCAAGTTTATACAGTAGTCTGGCACAAGCTATTGCCAGTATCCCTGCCAAGTACAAGTGCTTGGACTTAAATGAATAGATAAAATACATAACTTACATTTAAGGGGAATGGATACTTCCAAAGTGCTTTAGTAGAAATTTTTCCTCTTAAATATTATAAACTGTCTCCTGTTAACCTTGTCTAGAACACCTGTCCTGAATGATCAGGACTGTCAAGCTAATGTTTTACTTATTCCTGTATTTTAAGAGACCACCTTTGAAAGCACCGTTTTCCATTTGGCATTTCACCAAGGCCTAATATCCCTGGAGTTAGTTTTTTTTTTTTCCTTTTTGAATATTGACAGGTATTTATCTTAATTAAACTACATTTGGTTTGATGGCTTCCTGCTTCCAAATTGGCACAAACGTGCCTCACTTTATATGGGAGATATCAGGATCTCCATGGGTTGGAAAGTAGATGACCATCACCTTGAGGCAAATAGTCTCAGCAAGGTCCTGGCACTTAAATTTTTAAAAAACCTCTCACCATTTGGCTCTTCATGAAAATGTAGATAGTAGCATGGCACTGAGTAATGGCAGTTGAGCTTAGCAATGATGCAGTGCTCAGCAGGTCACTAGGGCTCCCACTGTGTGTTTGAAAGTTACCCACATAAGAATTGGCTTGTTATAAACTGATACAAAAAATGGTTTGTTCATATTTTCTCCTGGCCATCGTTTTCAATTTATGCATAAATGAGACTAAAATTATCATTAATTTTGTTACATGAGTTGATAGCCACTTTACCTCAATGAAAGGCAGAGTGGGGAGTAGATAAAACTCAACATTTTTCATGAAAAGGCTTTGGGGGAGATTCAAGAGTTGGATAAGCTGTCCACTTCTAGGCCAATCCTGTTCAAGTTATTCAGAACTGAGTGTTTATGTTATCCTCATACATATCTTATCTCTGCCGACTTTTAGGACAGCAAAGTGTATACATGCTTTAAGTTTAGTTTGTCCTCTTCCTAACGGTATCAGTGAAATATTGATCTTTTCTCTAAGGTCATTAACAAAACTGTCAAGGATCTGAGTGAAAGGCCCATATGGGACAAAAATCACCCACCATGGAGGCCACTGGTATTTTTTTTAACAGTTATGGCTTTTGAAGTATAAAAAATTTCCGTAAACAAAAGAAGAATTCCTCTGCATATAGCAAAGGAGCACCTGTTATATTTTGATGACATTTTTGATGTTATAGACTTCATAAAATTTTTTTGATACTCCAAAGATAGAAGTGACAATTATGTGCCAGTCTTGAGTACATCCAGTTTCTCCTCTAAATATTCCCAAGGTGTCATGCTAGATAGTAAGCATGGCTTTCTCCTGGAAACCAGCCATTTGAAGTGAGACCTTTGGGCTGAAAAAGCTAGCACAGGCTATTACTTTTAACAAAGGAATAAACCTTCATAAATGGCATAAATTCCATAATACACTCTTACATTTTCCAGTCCCTTTAATATTGAGTAAAGACTAGTCCTGGATTGACTATGTAAATATAACCGGTTCCTCAAGTGTATTAAGAGAGTAAATCTATGAAGATAAGCAGACCAAACTAACTCAAGATTTTCTACACTTGAGTACTGTAGCTGTAACTTCAAAGAACTTGTTACCTATGAAATTTATGTACAAAATAACTAGTTCTCGAAGATAAAAGTGATGGAAACATGTAAGAAAAATTGCTGTTAACTGTGTTCAAACAGATTCTTATTCTGTTATAAAGAGAACTGAAGTTCTAAGTGGCACCTAGTAGATATTTTAATCGGAAAAAATTTATCAAAACCTGGGTAATGATGCTCAAAACAACTAAATAAAAAAAATCAGCTACTGTTTTTTTAAAATGTATTTTGTCACTCTGTGTTACAAACTCAAAGCAAGTAGCTTATTACAACAATAAGGACGCAGTGTGATGAATTCTCATACCACAAGTTGTTATCAGTCTCAGGTAAAAGGCACATGACCAATCAAATTCTTTTAAGGCTTTTTCCCAACTAAGGGTCAACTTCCACTGTGGTTAAAGTTAAAATTATCTTCTCTATACTCTTCTTCTGAAAGGATCCATTGTAGAGATTCTTTACTCAACTTTATTCTACATCAAGACTAAAATGAAGAAAACAGAATTAGGGTCTTAATATTCAGAATGCTTTTAACTGGTGACAAGAAGGAAGAAGCCTATAGTTAAATATCCCAGAAATTTATTTGATGTTTGCTTGAATACATTTTATATAGAAAGATTGGGACTGTTTGCCGTGGGTGCCCCTGGTGAATCTCATAGAGGCACTGAACTACAAAGGGGTGTCAATCTGGAGCCATCAGAAATGGAAACCACAAGTCCAATTTTAGGACTGTTTTTAGCTTAAAGATTTGTCTCTGGTGAAATTAGGCCACTCCCTTAAAAAAATGCTCAATGAGTTAGAGCCATTGTATGAAAACAGCTGATATTTAGGAGGGCATTTCATGTTCTGGTCTGTGAGAACATTTAAATACTTGGAAATAAAAAATATTCAGCTTTGAAGTTTTCAATACTGGAAAACTTTCAAGTCTAGGGTTCACAGCCAGGAAGGGCTGCTCTGTGTTCCTTCAACTGGACTCTGTTTCCCGCAAAGTTAATCTTCAGCCTTGGCTTCCATCTCCTCTGCATCATCATCTCCATCCACTTCTGCATTTTCTCTTTCAAGCCTCTCCAACTGTCTTGCAAGTTCAGTCTCATCTATATCTGTGACCACCTTGGGCTGTGGAAGCAGAGGTATAGTTTCAAAGTCATTAACTAGTATACAAATTCAATTTCAGAACCATCCAGTATTCTAATTTTAACTCAAAAAAAAAAAAACAAAACCACTAGTGTTCTAACAACTCTGTCATATCTGTTTACTTTGAGTGCTGACATACCACTAATAGATTCTATTAGATAAACAGAAATTTATGAGGACTAAAGTAGAAGGAAAAGATGTATTAAAACGGAAAACTTTCCTGTCATCTTTGTAAGCTAAAACTAAAAACATATGAAATAATCTCAGGGGCTATTATCTTTCAAGGTCACAAATAGAAGTTCTGTTAAAAATGCACCTTTGCCAGGTGCTGTGGCTCATGCCCATAATCCCAGCACTTTGGGAGGTAGAGGCAAGAGAACTGCCTGAGCCCAGGAGTTTGAGACCAGCCTGGGCAACATGGTGATTTACTGTCTCCACAATAAATCAAAAGATTAGATGGACGTGGTGGCACCTGTAGTCTCAGCTACTTGGAAGGCTGAGGCTGAAAAATCCTACGAGCCCAGCAGGTCGAGGCGGCAGTAGCTGTGACTGTGCTACTGTACTCCAGCCTAGGCAACAGAAACTCTGGCTCAAAAATAAAAACAAACCAAAAAAATGCATCCTCTGGGCTCAGAATAAACGTACTACTACTTTCCACAGAAGGAATCATTATATATGAATATGGAGATTAGGCTTCCTTCTTGTTGAGATAAGGAAAAGATAGGAGACTATTCTTGAGATAAAACTGTAAGCATCTTACATTCAAATTCTGATAGTAATAAACTTCTCATTTTATTGTCTACTTACCACCTCCCCCCCAAGGAAATCACCCCCTCCCCCGAAGATCTCAGTGACCACAGGCCTGAATGACCATCACACAATATGACATTCCAAGTGCTGACAATTATTTACCTATCAAAAACTCCTTTTAGGGGCCATCCCACTTGACAATGATTATTTTATGCTTAGCAGAGTGGTATCTTAAATGAATCTGATGTTTTTAAGAAGGCAGTGATCAGATATTTTACTTAGAATACACATCATGGCTGGGTGCAGTAGCTCAAGCCTATAATCCCAGCACTTTGGGAGGCTACGGTGAGAGAACTGCCTGAGCCCATGGGTTTGAGACCAGCCTGGGCAACTTGGCGAGACCTCACTCTACAATAAATTTAAAAATTAGCTGGGTGTGGTAGTGTGTGCCTATAGTTCCAGCTATGGGGAAGGATTGCCTGAGCCCAGCAGGTCAAGGTTGTAGTGGCCATGCGTGTGCCACTGCATTCCAGCTTGGGCGACAGAGTGAGACCAACTCAAAAAAGAAAGAATGCAAATCATTTAGATGCTTTAAGCATCTTAAAAACTTAAGAACACAATAAAAATAAAGTTATTGTTCTCACCTCCATCTGAACATTGAACACACCCCTCTTTTCCTCAATCTTTTCTTTGATAACAGCCATAGCTTGATTGAGGACAGAAAGGCCTTCTGTTCTCTCCAGAGTTGTTGTTGTCATCACATATCGAGGAGGAGCTATTAGATTAATCTAAAAGAGAAAGACAAAAATTCAATTATGAACGTACCTACAGAACATATACCTATTTAGATGTATGAGATTTAATTAATCTGCTATATTAACATCGTCCAGCCCAGGTGCAGTGGCTCAAACCTGTAATCCTAGTACTTTGGGAGGCAGAGGTGAGAGGATTGTTTGAGCTCAGGGGTTTGAGACCAGCCTGAGCAACATGGTGAGACCTCGTCTCTACAATAAATCAAAAAATCAGCCAGGCGTGGCAGTGCATGCCTACGATACCAGCTACTTAGAAGGTTGAGGCAGAAGGATCACCTGAGCCCAGCAGGTTGAGGCTGCGGTAGCTGTGAGTGTGCCACTGCCCTCCAGCCTGGGCAACAGAGTGAGACTCCAATTCTAAATAAAAAGATTAGCTGAGTGTGGTGGTGTGCTCCTGTAGTTCAGATACTTGGAAGGCTGAGGCAGAAGGATCACCTAAGTCCCGCAGGTCAAGGCTGCAGTGGCCATGAGCATGCTGCTGTACTCCAGCCTGGGCAACAACAGAGTGAGACTCCAACTTGAAAAACAATAAAATGAAATAAAACAAATCATCCTAGCCTGGGCAACAGAGTGAGACTCCAACTCTAAGTAAATAAATAATAAAACCAAATTATCCCAAAATTTAACTCCCAATTTTATAGGTCAGCAATTTGGGATTGTCTGTTAATGTAGTAAAAATTGACAAACTGATCTAATTCAGCAGTATATAAATAGTCTAATGTCTAAGTATGAAGAATTATGACTTCTGGGTTCTTTGGTGGCTAAAGTAACTACAGTCATCAACAGCATAAAGGATAATCTGTCTCTAGACTAAACTGACGGAAGAAATTCTTCTAAGAGATTCTGAATAACAGCTATCTGGTTTATCGTTAATGAAAGATTCAGATCAAACCTCATACAATTTGTATATGTATGTGTGTAGATATATGTGTGTAGGTGCTATGAGCATTTTGGGCACAGCAACCCTTCACTGTAAAGGAGGTTCAGCATTGCTGGCTCTCTTGCAATAGGAATTCCTACCCTCTGCGACAGTAGCAGTAGAAACCAAAAGAATGTCTAAACATAAATTGTAAACATCCCCTAGAAATATCACCAAGAATCACTGCTCAATTTTAAGAACAGAAAACACTTTTGTTATGAAATTTGAACATAAAAAAACAAACAAAAAAAGCTAGGTGTGGTGGCTCACACCTGTAATCCCAGTACTTTGGGAGGCAGAGGCAAGAGGACTGCCTGAGTCCATGGGTTCGAAACCAGTTGGGCAACACGGCAAGATCTTGTCTCTATGATAAATCAAAAAATTAGCTGGGTGTGGTGGCACGTGCCTGTAGTTTCAGCTACTTGGAAGACTGAAGAGGAAGGATTGTCTGAGCCCAGCAGGTTGAGGCTGCGGCAATAGACTGAGACTCCTACTCAAAAACAAACAAACAAATATACATACAAAGATCAAAGATCTAACTTGGTTTAGGTGGATATTTAAGAAGGGAGGAAGAAAACTGACCACTCACCTTGATGGGCATGGTTTCCGTAGAACAATTCAAACCTGCTCTCAGAGCTTCTTTTACAGCATCGATGCCTTCATAACCATAACAAGCCACTTCAATATCTATAACCATAAAAATTAAAAAGTGGATACCAAAAAATGCAAGAAAACTTAAAAGTTTAAAAGAAAAAATTTAAATACTTATGAACATTTTGATTAGTCTTTCAATTAGAAATTAATCCCAAATATTAACTTTCATAATTAAAAATATGTGAATATGCAGTAAAATGGTATCCTTTCATCCACATCAAGCCACCTGCAAGTGAAACTATAAAAGAGAAATTCAGCAAACACTGTAAATGCCACTTATGCTTGGGTTAAGATCCTGAATCAACTGCAGTATCTTATTTGTAAAATAGAAATTACGGAGGAGTATGGTGAAGACTGAATGAAAAAGCTGCAACCTGTCCAGAACAGTTAAGAAATTGCATACCCAGTAATTCTACTTTTAGGAATTTGTCTTGAAGAACACTTGTGTAAAGGGATAAGCATGTATAAGGATGCTAATTTGCAGCTTTTTTTAAATTGTGAAAAACTAGCACAACCTAAAAATTTGTTAAGAGGGGACTGGTTTACGTTAAGCCTTATCTGTTCTGCGGACTATTATTCGGCCAGAAAGAAGAATGAGAAAGATTCCTATGTTCTGCATGGAAGGGTACCCACGACACACTAAGTGAAAAAAGCTAGCTAGTCGGAAAAAATTCTACACAGTATGATCCCATCTCTGTAAAAATAAAACATAAAAAAATTATATTATATGTGAATGTAAACAATATGTGTAAAGGAAAAATGTCTGAAATAAAATATTCCAAATTATTAGAAGTGGCTGATCCAGAGGCATGAGAGGATACTGCTGTCCTGTTATAATATTTTAAAGTATGCACTAAAACAAAGCAATCAAATCCCCTTTTTTTAAAAAAAGGACTAACTTAAGGTTAGTTGAACTCACATGACTGTTTCCACAACTGTCAACATATACACATTTCATAATTCAGTAGAAGCAAAAATTCCAAAAGCTTTTTCTTGTTATGAAAAATACTTAGAAAAATTTACAGATATTTACATAGCAACATATTCTTTGATTTCATTATTTAGCAGCTTTTTTGATGCATGCAAATATCATAAAAATCATTAAAAAAAATCATTTACCTGCTCGAATTTTGACAGCCTGTGGAGTCAAGCGCCTATTAATATTGTTAATGAGTACTTCCCGTTCATCTTCATTCAAATCTAAGCTATCCAAAATAGATGGGTCTCTGGTTAAAAAAACACACAAAAAAACAAAAGGCCAAGTTTACATTACTGATAAATGTGAAACCAAACACCATGGAATAATGTACATAATACTAAAGCACAGGCTTCAATGTTGGGTAAGAGTTCAAATCAGCTTTGCACTTCAATAACTATGTGTCTTTGGGCCTTTCCAAAGCCAGGCTCTAAATATGTAAAATGTGGATGAAAACAGTGTATCCCACAGGATTGTGGTATCAAATGAGATAATGCACGTTAATCACTAAGCAAGCAATTTAAGGTCTCCTAACACACCTGACATTCCACTGTAATTAAGCACCTCCAATGTTATTAGCAGTCCCTGCCTCAGGGAGCTCATACACTAGCTTGACAAGAACAAACACATGGACAAATTTGTAAATTTACAAGTACATTCATGGGCATTAGGAGAGGAAGGCATTACTTCCAGCTAAAGGCGTCAGGAAGGACTTCACAGAGAAAGTAGGACTTCACATAGAAAGTAGCATTTCATCTGAACCTCCTAAGTGCCATAAGACAGGGACCAGGGTTTTAGTTACTGACATTTTGTTGAAAGAATGAACAAATGAAAATGTGAAATAATGATTAAAAGAATGGCAGCACTTCAAAAAGCAAAGGCAGAACTCTTTTAAGACAGTTATATGGCATGAGCAAGCATCAGGCTTCAAAAGCATGGCATTGGCCAGGTGTGGTGGCTCATGCCTGTAAAACCAGCATTTTCGGAGGCCAAGGCAGGAGGACTGTTTGAGCTTAGGAGTCTGAGACCAGCTTTGGCCATATAGTGGGGGAAAAAGAAATGTCACAAAATCAGTTGGGCATAGTGGCACATGCCTGTAGGACTAGTTACTTGGGAGGCTGAGGAAGAAGGCACACCTGAGCCCAGGAGGTTGAGCCACGATGGGGCTACTGCACTCCAACCTAGTCTCAGGTTCAAGAAAAAAAGCAGGGCATCTGGATAAGGAATGAAAGGCAAAAGAATATGAGTGGAGGGAACTTTTCTTCAGCTAATACAAAGTAACAAGAAGACAAACCAACAGAAATGCCTACAAAGCAAGAAGGTAGGCAAAATGAGATGAATACATGTTTGATGGAAGAAATACAGTTAATAAACATGAAAAGCTGTTAACCTCACCAACAGGACTATACAAATCAAAAGATACTACTGTATCTCCATCAGACTGGCAAAACAGAAAAAAATATGAGCTATATGTCAAATGGTGGTGAGGATGAAGGGAAATAGGAATACTCACACAAGTGCTAAAGGGAATATAAACTGTAGAATCAATTTGGAGAATAATTTGGTAAAACTAAGTCAGTTTATATATAATTTATATTTACTTATGTAAATAGTTTATATATATATAATTAATCCTATAACCCAATAATTCCACTTGTAGGTATATAGCTTAGAAATTCTCACACATGCACACACAGAGACATGTACATGGATATTCACCATAGCACTGTTTGAAAAATGGGACTTGCCTGAGCCCACGGGTTTGAGACCCGCCTGGGCAACTTGGCGAGACCTCATCTCTACAATAAATCAAAAAAAATTAGCCGGGTGTGGTAGCGCGTGCCTGTAGTTCCAGCTACTTGGAAGGCTGAAGCGGAAGGATCGCCAGAGCCCAGCAGGTCGAGGCTGCGGTGGCTGGGAGTGGCCACTGCACTCCAGTCTGGGCGACTGAGACTCCAACTCAAAGAAGAAAAAAAAAAGAAAAATGGGACAAATGGGATAATTATCTAAATCTCTTTTAACAGGGGAACAGATAAAGCATATTCTCAAAATGGAATACTATGTAGAAATTAAAATGACGGAAGTACACATCTATCAATTTGGAGAACTCCTGCTCAATAATAGCCTTGTATGTAAAAATGCAAGCTATAGAAAGATATGATAATAGATTAAATTTTAAATTAAAAAATTGATTTTACATGTACTTTATGGATACATATATAGTAAAATCATAAAGACATAATGAAAATGATACATACTAATAACTTTAGAATACTGGTTCCCAGATGAGTAAGGGGAATGGGTCTGGTGAGGTAAAATATTGTTTCCATCTATCTCAGAAATTTTATTTAATTATACTATTTGACTTATTGCCCTTAAAATTTAAAAAAAGATTGTATGTCTTAATTTACAATATAGAGCACATGAGGTAGAGTATTAGCATTAATGAAATGCACACAATTGCTACATGAGTGACGAAGCGAGAGAAGACAGCTAAGGGAAAGGGAATAATACATGCCAAGGCTCAGCAGTAACGATGGTGCCAGAGCTAGAAGCTAAAGAGGTAGGTCAAGGCCAGGTGATGACAGTAAGCCAAGTTAAGAAAGGTACTAACTGAGGCATGCAGGACAGAAATAGAAAGCAGCCATCATGGCCAATAGCACAAACTTTAGATGGAGCCAGAAGGTCTGGGTTTGAATACTGGTCTATGGTTTGCTAGCTGTGTGATCTTGAACAAATTATTTACTCTCTGCTTCAATTTCTTTCACCATGAGGATAATAATAGCATTTATATCATAGATAGTTGTAAGATTTATACAAATGTTAGCTATTATGATTATTCAGACCTTTTCTGCAAAGTGATACGCCAAAACAAAACAAAACAAAACAAAACAAAACAAAACAAAAGTCATATGAGAACCTCCATGAGAATCTGGGATTTGGAACCCAAGGTGAGTTAGCTAGCAGCAGGCTCTAAAACAGACCCAGATCCCACTTGGCCATTCTGAGGGCTGAAGGGACCATCATCTCTTGACAGCACCAATGTTGGGAAAATAACCTCTCAGCACTGTGATGAGGCTGAGCATGAGCAGGTAGGAAGGAGCAGGAGGTGAAGAGACAACAAGTGCAGAACTGAAGCAGTGTGGTTATTAAAAGAGATGACACAGTGTCTGCTCCAAGAGAAAGTAGAGGTGAGGTTGAGAAGTTTGTTTTTTTTTTTTAGTATAAATGGAATAAACTGGAGCATGTTTTAATGCTGACGAAGCAAAACAAGTAAAAGGAACAGCGAAGACCCAAGAGAGGGAGTAACTGATGGAAGGAGATCCCTGAGCAGCCACTGGGCACAGGTGCTAAGATTAGTTGAGGGCAGGGAGAACAAATTCCATGTGATGGTAGCACAGGAAGAAATGACAGATGGGATGGGGACAAGTTTGCTGAGATAGTGGAAAAGTAGTTCTTGTGCAATGGCTTCTATTTTCTTTGTAAAACAGGTAAATGAGCACACCAGGTGAGAGGGAGGAAAATTGGGTAGAGTGGTTTTCTAAGGAAGAGCATGGAAAAGCTCTAAAATAGCCACTATGGAAATGGGAGGTAAAACTGACCAGGAGCAGAGAATGAGGCAGTAGTGAAGGTCCAGCTGAGGTTGGACACCATGAATATACAGTGGCACCAACCTGCAAGACTGTGATTTTTCCTAGCAGCACCCAGCAGTCTACAGAGTGGAGAAGGCAGGAACATCGATCCAAGGCTGGATGTAACAGAAGGAAAAACAGAGCAAAAGCTCATGATTTTGGCAAGAAAGCTGTTGAAATGATGGCTCATGATGTATCTATGCTGGATAAGAAAGAGAAGGCAGAAAAGCGTGAAAAAAGAGGGAGAAAAGGGGTTTGGAATCAGAGCCTAATATGTAAGAATTATGACACAGAGTAGGACTAACTGTGTGGGAGCTGGAAGGATAAGAGGCTTGGGCAAAAGAACAGAAAGTGTGATTAAAAGGTTTTAGTGGCAGAGCGAATCCTGGTGATAATAAGGCCCAGGTTGAGGTCATATGAACAATTGGCTAAATTGGTGTGGACTGAAAGTCAAAGGACCTGAGGTAAGGAAAACAAGAGATTACAGTTTTAGATGAGACATCCACATTGGCCCTGAAGTCACCTAGGACAGTAATAAAACTAGGAAAGGAGAATGTGTAAGGGAGTAGTATGAGATGAAACCATGTTTTATAAATTTACATTAACTATAGTATATAAAAGTACACAGATTTGTTCATACAGGATTGGCCCGCACCATGGCCTTTTACACTGAAATATTTTAAACTAAATTTGGCAAGGATTTAATACACAGATATTGTGCCATTAAATGTCACATTAACAGTTGTGTGCTAGAACTAGAAGTGGAGTCAAGAAGGTATTCTTACGAGACTGCATGCTTGAAGGCATCATAGGCACCATATCCAGGTCTCTTGTACTTGTCATCAAAGACCCAGGCAGTCCTCTGGAATAGGCTCTCCAGTTGTTCGTCCTTGGTGTATTCTAACACCTCAGCAACATGACGAAGAATGCTGTAAACCTAGAAACAAAATAAAGAGCTCAAAAATGGAAAGATAAGAAATCTAAAATATATATAATTTTACATTTTAGTAGACTGCATTTTTTTTTTTGTCAGAGTCTCACTTTGTAACCCAGGTTAGAGTGCAGTAGCATGCTGCTCAGTCACTGCAGCCTTGACCTCCTACATTCAGGCAATCTTTCCACCTCAGTCTTCCAAGTAGCTGGAACTCTAGGTGTGGGCCACCACGCCTGGCTCATTTTTTAATTTATTGTAGAGACAAGGTCTCACCATGCTGCCCAGGCTTGTCTTGCTCAGGCAATCCTCTAGCCTCCGCCTCCCAGAGTACTGAGATTATAGGCGTGAATCACTGCGCCCAGTGTGGAAATACTCTTTTCCACAAAATAATTAATGTAAGAGGGTATAACAAGTAGAGAGAGTAATATTTTAGAGTCCAAAGACCTGGAACAAGTCTTGACAATGGAACAGTTATAATCTCTGAATCTGTTTCCTCAACTGGAAGAAGGAGATATTAGTATCTTTCTTTCTTGGGCTCTTGCACAGGTCATAAATATAAAAACACACTATAAATGGAAAACTATTATACAAATAAGTTATCATTACTTCATATGAGGACAGAAGATTGAGATTTTAACTTTAATATTTCTTTTTATATTATCATTTAACAATTATCCATCAATCTTACACACCTGCCAAACTTTTTCTAACATTCTAAAAATAACAGTTTAGAGAAGAGTTAAGGTATAAAAAAAGTTTTCCTATTAGTTACACATGAAAATTGAGTGAAGGTACTAACATTGAATAATTTCCATTTTATCATCTTATTACTCTGATAAAATCTATACTCATTCTAACAATATCCTAGGACCAAAAATACAGAATTCTCCTAGAGCAGTGTTTCTTTTTTTTGAGTTGGAGTCTCACTCTGTCGCCCAGGCTGGAATGCAGTGGCACATTCACGGCCACCACAGCCTCGATCTACTGGACTCAGGTAATCTTTCCGCCTCAGGGCTTCCAAGTAGCTGGAACAAGAGGCGAGCACCACCACACACCGCTAATGTTTTTGATTTACTGTTGAGACGAGGTCCTCGCCAAGTTACCCAGGCTGGTCTCAAACACCTGAGTTCAGGCAATTCTCTTGCCTCTACCTCCCAAAGTGCTGGGATTAAAGGCATGAACCACTGCACCTGACTATAGTGTTTCTTAAACTTGGTGAGACCTGAGAGTTTGCATTTAAAAAAAAAATCAGAGTCTCACTCTGTCGCCTAGGATGAAGTGCAGTGACACGCTCACAGCCACAATAGCCTTGTCCTGCTAGGCTCAGACGATCCTTCTGCTCAGCCTTCCAAGTAGCTGGAATTACAGGCATGAGCCACCATTCCTGGCTCATTTTTCTTTTTTTATTGTAGAGACAAGGTCTTACCAAGTTGCCTAGGCTCCTCTTGCTTCTGCCTCCCAAAGTGTTGGGATTATAGACATGAGCCACTGTGGCCAGCAAGGGTATCCAATTCTATATTAAGCAGTCAGTGATTGATGTCAATGCTATTGGTCCAGAGACTACATTCTGAGTGGTAAGGTACATTAAAAAGTGATTTCACTGAAAGTGATCTCAAATGCATAAACCATATTGTATAATTGTAAACACATGAGTAAAACAAAGGACACGATTTGAGTAATGGGCTGATGGCTTTTGGACCTTTATTTTCTCTTTTACTGGGATTAAGCAAGATTTAAAAAAATCTCTTCATTCAAACTTTTTTTTTTTTCTTCATTGTATCTTGAAGACAGAAACACAGGGCAGAAGAGAACAGATTCCAGAGAAGGGCAAAAAATCCCAGACAACAATGGAAATAGTGCCATTAAGACCTGAGGATGCAGGCAGTGAAGGATAATCTAAAAAGGACCTAAGAATAGATAAATATACACAGAAGAAATACAAAGAAATGAAACGACCTTCCTTGCTATACTAATGCTTACTGTGGAAGGTAAGTAGGAAAATAACAGCAAAAAAGTAAGAAAAGTAAAACAAAATAATCCTAACACATTTGGGAGTGGGGGGAGGGTACTAGTAACAGGCTCCCATCGTGCTTTCCAGGATTCAGACATTTTACAAACTCTTGCTCATTCTCAACATATGACAGCTGGTTGGCCCTGTTACCCTTATCCCAGAACTGGATTCAAAGAACTATGCATTATGAGACATCCCAATTAGAAATAAGCTGAAGTCATCCACAGTTACTTTAACCTAAGAATGGCTTCAAAACACTAATTTCTAATACTGTTTAGAGAATATAAGATCATAAGCAATACTTTAAGGCAGAAGAACGAGATGAAAAACACTGTAGTTGCACTCTTTTGAAATTAAGATTTCAAATTATTTTTCTATGTAACACATAATTGGGAATAGAAATACAGAGTTACAAAACATGTGGGTTTTGTTTTTCATTTTTCTGCCAGGAAGAACACATACTGATTATTTGTTAAACACAGAATGGACTAATTTGACTTAAAGATCAACTTACAGTTTTGGATTTTGTGAATTTGTCTTCACATTTGATTGCTTCCTCTGGAGAAACTCTTCTTTTTGATAAATCAATATATCCTTTGTAAGAAAATTTTGAAAAAAATATTATCTCTGCCCAATTGTCACTGTACCGCAGTTAACAAATTTTCATAACCAAATTAAGTATTTGATTGGCATACATATAATTATTTTCTACTAAAATATCAATAAAATGTGGCAAAGTACAGGCTGAATATCGTCTAAAATGTTTGGGACCAAGTGTTTCAGGTTTCAGATTTTGGAATATTTACATAGTATTTACCAGTGGAGAATCCCTAATCTGAAAATTTGAAATGCTTCCAGTGAGCATTTCATTTGAGAGTTATGTTGGTGCTAAAAATTTCAGATTTTGGAGCATTTTGGATTTTGGGATTAGGAATACTCAACCTGTATGAGACAAGAGACTTTATTTGTTTTCAGAAATAAATTACTATCAGATAACTGTACATTCTCTACTACCTTAGTGGAAGAACTAATAATTTTCAGTTATGCAAAAGAAAGCTAGTCAAATGCTTGTTTTCCATACTTCTTCCCTCCCTATGTGTCTACAAAATAGAAATTCACTCCAATCTTGATTTAGTTTAAGAGGCTATCCTCAACAGACAACACATACACACACAAATGGAACAAACTAAAACTACTTGTATAGAATGATGCCCACATCCAAGTAACTATGCTAGATTGTTTTACTTAGGCATCTCATTGAAGTCTCACAACAATCCTTCATGGCAGATTATCATCCTCTTTCCCACAGACCTCCTCCCTCTTTTTTTAAATCTGAAGAAACTAAAAACCCAAGAAAGGTTAAGTAACTTGTCAAGGTCAAATAGCTAGAAAATGATTGAACCCCACAAACCTGTGCCTGGTCAGAACTTCTAGTACAATGTTGAATAACAGTGGTGAGTGTAAATGGCCTTCTCTTATTCCCAATATTGGAGGAAAGTATGTTTGTAGCTTTTTCCTAGATACTTTTAATCTGATTAAGGAATTCCCTTCTAGTTCTAGGTTGCTGACTTTTTATTATAAATGAGTGTTGAATTTTGTCAAATGTTTTACATCGATTACAATTTCCTTCTATATTCTATTGATATACTGATTTTATTTCAGATTCTAAACATTCTTTTTCATTAAAAAAGGTATGACTTGCACACAGTAAAATTCACTACTTTTAGTGTATAGTTTTATGAGGTTTTTCTTTAAGATTGGAAAATACAGTTTATTTAGACAGTAAATTGGAGAGAGAGAAAGAAGAGAGACTGATTAATTCACCTCCCCAAGGCAGGTGAGGAGGCCAAGGCTAGGAAACATGGCAGCCATAGCTGAAAGAGTCATATGGACATATAAGAGCTTAACAAAGCAATGACAATAAAGTCAATCAGAGAGAGAGAGAGAGCAATTGATTCACCTCCCCAAGGTGGGAGAGAGGGCCAAAGCTAAGAAAACATGGCAGCCACAGCTCAAAGAATATATTATCTGACTAGTGCTTAACAAAACAATGGCCAGTTCTATAAGTTTTAACAACATAATACAGTCAAGTTACTACCACCAAGATATACCACCACCTTCAAGCCACTATAAACTGGGTACAAGTTTCTTAGTGTACATGAATTTTCATCTCACTTGGGCAAATATCTAGAAATAGGACTGCTGGGTTGTATAGTATGCTTAATTTTTAACTGCTAAACTGTTTCCCAAAGCGGATGTGCCATTTTGCATTCTCATGAGCAATGTGGAACAGCTCTAACTGTTTCACGTCTCTCAATTCATTTTTTGAAAGTTAAGCTGTTGGTTGTGAAGTGGCATCTCATTGGGATTAGGAATACTCAACCTAAAAAGATTTAACTTACTTTTTCCTAATGATTAATGATGTTCAACGATCTTTTCATGTGCATATTTGCCATCCATTTATCTTCTTTATTAAAGTGTCTATTAAAACTTCAGCTCCTGTTTAATACGGTGTTTTAGATTTTTTTAAGTTGTCAAAGTTGTAAAGATATTCTGATATGCTATTTTATTCTCTTAACAATGTCTTTCAAATAGTCTAAGGTTCTTAATTTTGATAAAGTCCAACTGACAGTTTTTCTTTTCATGGATTATATGCTCTTGGTGCTGTATCTAAGAAATCTTTGCCTAACACAAAGTCAAAAAGATTTACTTTATTTTCTTCTAGAGGTTTTACAATTTTAGATTTTACATTTAGGTCTATCATTCATTTCATGTTAATTCTTGTATGAAATGAAATGTATGACTTAAGGTGCTTTTTTTTTTTTTTTTTTGAGTTGGATCTCACTTTTAATGTATATGGATATCCAGCTGTCCTGGCATCATTTGTTACAAGTACAATTCTTTCTCCATTCTGTTGCCTTTGTATCTTTTAATTAATTGACTATTTAAGAGAGAGCATACACGAAGTTTTGACTGTTAAACCAAACTGGCATTCTATACACTCCACTTGGTTGTACTTTATTGACCTTTCTATACATTGCTGGATTTGATAAGCATATATTTTTATTATCAATTTTTGCATCTATGCTCATCACAGATTTGGTCACCAATTTGCCTTTTCAAAAAGTCTTTGTCAGGTTTTCTTATCAGAGTTATGATGCCTCATAAATTAGTCATACATTGCATAACAATGTTTTGGTCAACGATGGACCAGATGTACAACACTGGTCCCATAAAGATTATAATACCATACCTTGTTTATGTTTAGATATGCTTGGACACACAAATGTCATTGTGTTACAACTAATCAAGTAACATCCTGTAAAAGTTAGTAGCCTAAGCCGGGCTCGGTGGCTCAGCCTGTAATCCCGCACCTTTGGGAGGCTGAGGTGAGTGGATTGCCTGAGCCCGCAGGTTCGAGACCCGCCTAGGCAGCGAGACCTCATCTCTACAATAAATCAAAAAATCAGCCGGGCGTGGTAGCGCATGCCTGTAATTCCGGCTACTTGGAAGGCCGAGGCGAAAGGATCGCCGGAGCCCAGCAGGTCGAGGCTGCGGTGGCTGGGAATGGCCACTGCACTCCAGTCTAGGCGACAGGGTGAGACTCCAACTCAAAAAAAAAAAAAAAAAGTTAGTAGCCTAGTAATCACAGGCTATACCATATAGCCTACAAGTGTAGTAGGCTATACTATCAAGGCTTCTCTAAATATACTCTATGATGTTTGCACCACAATGATACATTTCTCAGAACATATCCCTGTCATTAAGCACTACATGACACTGTATTTGGGAGGTGTTTCCACCTCAACTTTCTGAAATTTTTTATGACTCATTATTTCTGCCTTAAATGTTTGATATAATTCATCAATGAAACCATCTGGGCCTAGAGTTTTCTTGATGGAAAGGTTTTTGGCTATAAGGTCAACTTCTCTAAGATACAGGACATTCAAATTTCCCATTTCATCTTGCGTTAATTTTGGTAAGTTAATATTTTCAAGGAATTTGCTTATTTCACCTAATTTGTTTGGATGCTTGACATGAGGCTGGTAATATTCCCTTTTCAGCCTTTGAATGTCTGTAGTATTTGCAGCGATAGTTCCTTTTTTATACCAGAGATTGATAATTTGTGTTCTCTCTTCATCAATCTAGCTAAAGGTCTATTAATTTTATTCTTTAAAAAAAACCTCAATGTTTAACTTTGTTACTGTTCTTTCCTTGTTTTTGATTTTTCTACTTTACTGATTTATTCTCTTATCTTTATTTTTTTTCCTACTTACTTTGGGTTTACCTTACTCTTCTTAAAATTAATCTTAAAATAAAAGCCTAGATACATGTTTTAGAACTTCAGTCTTTTCTAAAATAAGTGATTAAAGCTATAAATTTCTCCCAAGGCCTTCTTTAATACATGGGTTATTTGGAAGAACTTGTTTAACTATGTAAATATTTGAGATTTTTTTTCTCCCAAGGTATAATGATACCAATCTCAACTTACTTCAAATGTGATCAGAGAACATACACTGTATTCCAATGCTTTTAAATTATTCAGTTATATTATGGCATAATTTATTGTCTGTCTTGGTGATTATGTATACTTGAAAATAAAGCATCTTCTGCCTTTTCTGGGTATTGTGTTCTAAGTATCACTCAGGTCAAGGTCAAGGTCTTTTTTTAAATGTAGAGATAAGGTCCTGCTCTGTCACCTAGGTTGGAGTGCGGTGGTGCGATTCTGGCTCAACCTCCTGGACTTAAGTTATCCTCCTGCCCTAGCCTCTCGAGTAGCTGAGACCACAGGTGTGTGCCACTACACTTGGCTATTTTCAAAAAATTTTTTTGTAGAGTCTGTCTTGCTATGTTGCCCAGGCTGGTCTCTAACTCCTGGCCTCAAGCAATTGTCCCACTGCAGGCTCCTGAGCAGCTGAGATTATAGGCACAAACCATGATGTCCAGCTTATCTTTGTATTTTTAAATAGTTATTCTAGGAATTACAATATACATCCTTACGTTTTTAGTTAGTATTGTTCTACTGCATATAAATGTAAGAATCATATAGATATATTTACCCCACACTTCCTAGCCTTTGTGATTCCACTGTCAAACGTTTTGAGTGCTTTAAACAGTGTTCTGCTCTCTTAGATTCTTTACTTTTCCATTTGGCAATTGGCCATCACAGAGTCAATTGTATTAGCTATATTTTATTTTATTGTCATTAACTAAAATTTTTCTTATTTTTTGTATTCTTGAGGCTATGACATTTCTGGCCATGCTAACGAGAAGACTGACCTTCCTGGAGAAGGGATTAGCTTAGGAGCATGCCTTTCATATGCAAACTAGCCCACAAACTCAAATCACTATCCACACCAAATCACTATTTCCCCTACTATAAATCAACCCCAGGGTAGGTATCAAATAACTAGGGAGTACCGTTATGTACCAAGGCCAGCCAAAGTCATTCAAACTAGCCAATCCTAAATTGTTCACACTGCTCTGCATTGTTTTTCAGGCAGAAACTCCAATAAGAGCTCTGGCCTAGTCTTTTCCTTAGTTCCTTGTGACTCCTGGCTAAAACTGATGCTTCTTCATGTGGGCCTGTATGG